TCATCTCTCGGCCTAGTATTCATTCCACCATTTAGACGCCTCATTTTGACTTTGTTTGGATGCTGTCGGACCTCCTAAAGTTGAGCAAAAATAAGGTTGTTCTATTACTTTTCTTTTTCTTTTTCTTTTTCTCACTACAAAAAATTAAGGTTTTGGGGACCAAAATTTAGGGACAAAATTATTTTTTAGGAACCAAATATTTTTGTTGCGAAAAATGTCATTATATTTTTAGCAACAAAAATTGGACATTAGTGATGCATTATTATCTATTTGGGACCAAATTTTTTGTCTTAAAAAATAAATCATTTTGAGACCAAATTATTTTGTCCCTAAAAGTCTATTTATTAGTGACATTTTCAAAATTTTGTCGCTAAAAGCCTTATTTTTTATTTTTCGGGATGACCTTTTAGCGAGTATCCTCACGATGATAGAAATTGGTCCCTAAATGTCTTTTGCAACAAAATTTTCACTTTTAGAGATCAAAATATTTGGTCTCTAAAACTCTTATATGTTGTAGTGTCTTTTGGGTATTGTTCAGCTTTTGTCCTCAGTAAAAGTGTGGTCAGCTAAAGGAAGGTGTTCGGCAAAAGAGCTTGGTGCACATTGTTGAATATGCCTTTGGCAGTGAATAATCGAGGCCGTTTTCGTTGCCAAATAATGGAGCTCGGGGTTACAGATCTGCCGAGTAACTTTGTAGCTTTGCCAAGTGATTTGCTATGAGTCGCGACACTGCCGAAATGAATATGCATGGCTCGAATGCCTGATATAAATGTAAAGTTGCCGAACAACCTTGTTGGATTTCCGGACAGGTCCATTGTGATTCTAAACCCAACTGATTCAATGGAAAGCCAAGAAACTTGAGTGGTTGGCCGAAGAATGTTGTGTGCTGCTGTCTTTAACAAAACTGTCAGTTGTGTGGCATCATTTCTACTCTGAAGTTATTGAGTCAACAACTTGTTTTTGTTTTTCACTTGCCGACAGCTTTGGGTCGGCCGCTTCACTGGGTTTGTCTTGCCAAGACATTTGGAAGGTAAATCGCCATGGCTGACATGATGAAGCACTTGGTCAGCACGACTCCACCTTTGCCGATAATAGCGCTAGAGAGAGCCGTGGTCGGCCTATAACACCTTGTTTGTGAGCCGAACAAACAAGTCTAATGCATATGAAAATATTTGTATCGATGAATATATATAAATGTATCTTTACAAATATAGAGATAGCTTTTAGATATGAGATTTAGAATAACATGAGAGTTGGCGGACAACCCAATAAAGAGTTACTGTTGCTTAGTTGGTAGATAGGCAAACCAAATAAAGTGCCAAATTAAATGGGCCTTTCAGTTTAACAGTTACTTCAGTCTCATTTCGGTTCCGCCGAGAGGATGGTGGTGCCGAATATCTTGATTAATAAACCAGCCATTTGGATGCTTCCACTATTTTTTCTCGGCAACCTACATTGGCTTGCTGGCCAAAAGACTTTTAGAGAGAGAAAGTAAAGACCCAACTGTGGATTCCATAAAAACTGCTAGTATAGATATATGTATATCTCAAGAATTAATTATAAAATAAACTCTTGTGAGGCAAAAACTAAATAAACAATCCTGGGGGTGGGCCAAAGAAACCCTTTTGATAATGCCGAAAAGAAGCTCCTACAAACATAATCTGAAACCCATTTTTAGAGAGAGAAAATGAAGATGCAAAAGTAAATCCATGAGCACTGTTTTATTGTAAAACTTTTCATCAAGATTTACCATGAAAAAAGAAAAGAGTTTCTGTGGAGTTTGTAAGTACACACAGGCATATATGTATACAATTCAAGAATCAATTTTAGAGTAATTTTATAATAAATTTCATCAAAGGGAAAATTTAAAGCTTAGTTGTGGCTCATGATAACCATCAAAGTGTTGTTGAATGTTTACTTACACTAACATATTTGTTGTGTTCTTCATTGATCTCGTTCAATCGTTTCCACAAACGGTGTAATGCCCCGATAAAATATCATAATACATCCCAATCACAATTAACGCAAGACAGCATAATTGGAATACTAAGCTTTCATTAATCTGGATTGTTATACAAAAGTGACATATACAATGTACATTCATAAACAGTTCATCTTGAATCTATAGCATGTGTTGCAAGTAATAAAGAGAGATGGAAGCTAATCAGATATTTAGATGCCCTAAAGACTTACATCTTTCCAAGTCATTGTTTGGTTACAACAAAAGAGAGTCTAACTTTATACAAATAAAGCCCTTGGCTATACAAAAGGAAATACAACAAAAAGAAGCTTTTGCTCCAAAGTCCCTCCAAGCTATTGCCTTAGCAGAGGCATATCACCAACACCTGAAAATAGTTTTTCCCAAAATAGGGTGAGCCAAAGCCCAGGAGGAACAATCTGACACAGTATATGGGTCTTAACAAAGATATAAGTACAGTGTCCATTTGTAATGCCAGTGAGAAAACATTTATATTCTATGTTATCATAAAGTACCAAAATTCATAACTCAATCTTTTTTACTTCACTTTTCATTCCTCTCTCTCTAAAACTTTCCAAAAACCTAGATCTTGAGGCTTTCTCTCTCTCTCTCTAAAAATCACCTTCTCTCTACATTTTTACCTAGATCCATTGGGTTCTCCACCCTAGTGCCTTTGAGAAAAAGTTAGAGCACTCCTAAAGCTCCGTTTTGATCCGATTGGAACTTGGTTCCGGTGTCACTGAAGTTCCACCCTTGCTTGGCTCGTCTTCTCTCTTTGAGGAAAGAACTTTCTACACTTTTATATGGCTTTTAACTTAGATATGGGATGTTGTGTAACAATGGTGGAATTTGGGGTATGGTGAACAAACCTAGGGTTTGAGTATTATATCAAAAGAGAGGTTTCTATGTGAATGAGCTATAAATGGTTATTGGATTGAATATGAGGCTATATTGTGTCAACATAGTTGATTTTGGCATTTGGTTGATATTTGGGGGAAAAAATGGAGTTTGCCCTAAATGCTTCAAATGTTTATTTTGTATAAATAAATGAAATTGATATTATAAATATGAAATTGGATGGATGTTAGTATAAATGATGGAGTTGGACATGTGTTACCTCACACCTATGGGAATTTGAATAAATTATCTGTCTTGAGATTGAAACTAAGTTGGACTGTGTGTCCTAGGTGAAAGACCCGAAACCGCTCATATACATGAGTGTCGATCCTGCGGACGAAATTTTCGTAAAATGACAAATTGAAATGTTTGTGTGATGATTGTGTTAATTTGGGAACCACTGAGTTGTAGTCTTAGATGGGTTGATTGAAAGATAATGAATTTGGCTCATGAATTGAGATGAAATGATTTAACTTGAATTGACGGGAAGTAAAAAGGATTGAGTTATGAATTTTGGTACTTTATGATAACATAGAATATAAACGTTTTCTCACTGGTATTATAAATGCGCATTGTACTTATATCTTTGTTAAGACCCATATACTGTGTCAGATTGTTCCTACTGGGTTTTAGCTCACCCTATTTTGGAAAAAACCATTTTTAAATGTTGGTGATATGCTTTTGCCAAGGTAATAGCTTGGAGAGACTTTGGAGCAAAAGCTTCTTTTTGTTGTATTTCCTTTTATATAGCCAAGGGCTTTATTTGTATAGAGTTAGACTCTCTTTTGTTGTAACCAAGCAATGACTTGGAAAGATGTAAGCCTTTAGGGCATCTAAATATTTGATTAGCTTTCATCTCTCTTTACTACTGACGGCGCCAATTATGAGATCTAAAATAATCTCTTACATGGACTGTTGCTGAGATTCAATGAAGATAATCCCATGAACTTGCAAGAGATAAATATGATTGATGTCACCCAACCGGAGTTACCACCCGAGGATACTTCGATGACAAAGTTAGAATCTATGAAGAGAAAGAATAGAGGATATTTGTTTGGGCTGGACTCATTATAAGCCTTATTTAGATTAGCCTCATTAAGTTGATATAAATATTTTTCTGGCTCCCACAAATAACATTGTTATTACTTTTATTAATTGCGTTTATATATATCTTAACTTTTAGATAGATATATTATGTATTTGTATAACATATTTAAATTTTCCTTTCAAGCATTGCCCTAAGACTCATATATTAGCAACATGATATCAAGTTGAGTTCAGGACGGGATGGTCAAAGGGCATGGTTAGGTCAATTTCCTTCTCAAATAGGTAGAATATTCTTCCACCCATTTTTGCATAGCATAACAACTACTTTACCAGAAAAATTGACTTGAAACAAAATGCAATTGTTGCTAACCATAGCTGAAATGATCTGGTCTAAATTTTTAATTTTTTCCTTTCCAACAAATATTATGAGTCAGCAAGATCATCCCCACTCAAAATTTGAAAACTAAAAGGATATATAATTCATAACAAAGAAGAGATCGTGTGAGTCTGACTTTCACATGCATGACAAAAAAAGATGTAGCTACCATGAATCCCTAGTGACAAAAGGAAGAATAATAACTGATAAAAATCTTGATTTATCGGATGAATCATTTTCTGCTGGAAGAGTCATAGGAACCTCTCCTTTGATTGTTGTAAGTCACAACCAACTAAAACTATCAATGCATGTCACAGAATAACACAGCTAAACCAATGTTGATATTACAACAGGACACACTGCTAAAAGTTGATCTAAAACACCTCTATAGCATGAAATATCTTCTTCAATTGATCTAAAACACCTCTAAAGGTATTCCCCTCAGATGCTGCTACTGCTGTTGCCACAAATATTGAAACAGGTGGACCTTCAGCAAAAACTCCCCAAATATAAAATTCTCCGTTGAACAACTATTTTGTTTCTGCACCTGTATGTCTATATTAAGCTACTATTTACGGTACTAAACAATACCAATGTGCTAGACATTACCCATTTTGCTTTTGTAATTTCATATCTCTGTTGAGCCACTGCTTATGTAAATTGACAAATACTACTTTACTATATGGTACCAAAAAACCTGTGTCAATCCTCAAAATCATAACCCAAAATTGCAACCAGAGATCACCTAGAAAAAATAAAGAGTACAATTTAGAACGAAGTCGCTAATAAATCCCAAATAACAGTGAGTACTTAATACATCAAAAACAACTTTCACAAGGAAACAAAGACAAATTTCTAATCCATTAAATTCCATCATGATCATGTGCTTTCAATGTATCAACTGTTTTATCATGCCCATGCTACTGTGGCGCCTGAAATGAATATGAAAATGAAACTTAACATTATTAACAATTTATATGAAACAAAAAAAAAAATATTTAAATTACACTAGTACATATCATATACCTGACTACATGTAGGATTGTTTGGGGCATGTGAATCTAGTAACCCGAACTCATAACCACTTGCATTGTTAAGCAATACTCGATAGCTTGTAGGTGCAGAATACATGAATGGCATTAGAATAGACATATTGTTCATCTGCAACAATAATAATGTATAACTATTAAAAGGAAAAATGATGACATAGAAAACTACATTACAATTAAATAAATACTTAAATTACTTACATTATATGTGGGACACATAAAATTACTACATTACAATTCAATTCTATGTTTCAACTTAATTCATTTTACATACAACAAATCATGTAACATAAAACTGATTGACTGTATGAATAAATAATGAATGCACCCAGAATCATCAGCACAAGCATTTCGGCATCATCAGCACAAGCATTCCGGCAATTGATATTTAAAAAAAAAAAAACACCCTTACAAAACCACCTCCACCACGCAATTATTATCCAAACCCACTGCACATGAGATAGTTGTACAAATCTTAGCAACACGCACTTGGTTTAATATTTTTTCATTCTTGTGAGATTGAGTCCCCAAAAATATATTATTTTGTCTTCTCAAATCCCCAAATCATAAACCCTAAAATTTTGAAATTTCTTATTCACATTTATCAAATCTGATTACATTTCTTTGATTAATGTGAATATTAAAGAAAAAAGCAGAAGAAGAGTTGAGAACGAAGAACATACTGACAATGTGGTTCTTTGTCGCTCGTCTTTTCTTCCGCTATTGCTCGACGCCAGTCGGTCTCCTACAATCGCCAATCGCCGGATGTCTTCGTCGCTGCGTCCGTCTTCTTCCCCCTCCTCTCTCTCTCTCCCCCTGTCTGCTACGCGAACCTGCTTCGCGCTCAATTGGAAGGCTTTTGTCATACGCTTCATCCTTTTGATTTTGATTTTTGATTTTCGATTTTTTTTTTTTTTTTTGTGGGAGGGACCAAAACGACATCGTTTTGTCCCTTTTCATTTATGCCCCTAGGGAGTCCAAAACAACATCGTTTTGGAGGTATTTCAGAGTATGATCCGAACGTGAACAAAACACATGTTTGGCTCGAATTTTCAAAGTCCTTGGTTATTTTGGGAAGTTAGTAAAAAGTTGGCTTTTAGCTTTTTATCAAGTTTTTTGGCTTTTTTGGAAGTGATTTGGGAAGTTGGTAAAAAGCTGACTTTTTGCTTTTTAGTTTAATATTTATTTATGGTGTCAAATCAAATTAAAATGACCAAAATACCCTTACCCAACATAAGAGATTTATTATTTTTTTTTATTTTTTTTTTCATATGCCCTAATTTGTAATTTTACGGCTGCATTTTTGGCACTTGCCAAATGACTTTTCTGGCGTTTTTGGCAGCCATGTTTTTGGACATTTTGTCTAAAAACGTGACTTTTTACCATGTTTCAAAATGGCACTAGGTGTAAAAGTCCTTTCTAAATAATTTTTATTATTTGGTGGCCAAAATGGGGGATTTCACTATTTTAATTTAAAAAATTGTTTTTGATCGGTCACTTTATTACATGTGTGAACAATTGAAATCCAACTAGCCTAACTGATGAAGAATATCAATATGGGGAAGGGGTCTTCGAGGCAAAGCAAGGGATGTTGAACCCATTGGTGGGCTCCACTTAAAATTTATTTTAATAATTTGAATGGTTCATTTTGTAAGGTCTGTCTTGAATATCATGCATGTTACAAAGTAAATTAATCGAATATCGATAGTCACATGATCATGTCATTCTTGTTGGATATTTAATTCTCAAATTTTTTTTTTCCCTTGAAGACAAATAGATCCGATCATGTGGCTATCAATATCTGATTACTTTTATTTGTTTACGTGTATAATTATCTTGACGGACCTTACAAAATTAACGATTTAAATCATTAAAATGGTTCTTAAGTGGAGCCCACCAAAGAGAGCAACACCCTTGTTGTGCGTTATCCACAATAGTAGGAACGGCAACAGGGCCGGGTTGTAGTCCCTCATCCTTTACTTTGTCAGGGTGCAAAAATACTATCTCATTTCTATTTTCTTGTCACGTAAAAAAAAAAAAAATCTTACACAGCAACCAAGATTGAGGGCGACACAAATTTTCATCCGTACAGAGACCCTCCTCCTAAGAACATCTCCAATCCAATGCTTTTAAATAGAGGGTAAAAATAAAAATTTTATTCAAAAAGTATATATAGAGCATCTCACTATTGACTCAAACTCTAACCATAAATCTTCATTTTCTTCTCTAAATATTTTCCTCCTAAATGTTTAATTTTTAATTTTTTGTTAAAAATATTTAATATTAGACTCATTTCAAAGGTATGATTTAAGTCTTTTTAATGATATTAAATTTATAAAAATTAGATGTACATATTAAAAGTTATTCAGTGTGTTTGATTTGAGTTTTCTGGATTAAATTTTTTGAAAAGTGAGTTTTTTAGTTTTCGTATTCTTTTGGTTTTAGTAAATATTTTTTAAATTTTAAACATTTTTTTTGCTTTTTTAGATGCACCTTAGTTAGATGTATCTAAAAAGTAAAAAATTTGTGAAAAAATATTTTAAAAAATTAATAAATACATAAAAATACAAAAAATGTACTGAATTATTGTATTTTTTTTTTGTATTTTTGATATTTAGTGAATTTTTAAAAGATTTTTTTTATAATTTTTTTACTTTTTAGGTGTATTTATGTTAGGTGTGTCTAAAAATTAAAAAAATTGCTTAAAATATTAAAAAAAATCAGTAAAAATAAAAAAATATAAAAAATAAAAAAATAGAATTTTTTGAAAAGTATTTTCTGAAAAATGAAAACAAGCAAGCTGATTTGTATTTTATAACATTTAATCGAAACTAAAAAGGATGTGGTTGGTATATAATTTTGAAAGGAAAATCCCTTAATGACAAAGTTGGTATTTAAAAAGTGAATAGTATTATAGAGACTATCCTCTATTTTTTATACTTTCTCTATATTTGGAGGATGAATATGTATTCTCCCAAATAGAAATGATATTAAAAAATGAGTGGAAAATAATTTTAGAGGATTAATCTTTTATGTTTAAAGATATAAAAGGTATGTTGAAAATGCTTTAATAAAATAGCTTCACGTGTACATCATTTATATAACTTTTTTTCAATCAATTCGTGGGCCTTGCTTTCTTGGAAGAAGGTAAGAATTTCATTATTAAGAAAAAAAAATTATATTCATACATAAATTTCATAGAAATATTATATACTTAAATTTTTTATTTAGAATTATTAACATATTGTCTAGATTTCCTCCATGTATAGATCCCACAATACACCATTCAATCTCTACCACACAAATTTTTTGGACAAAAATCTGGTAGTCTTTTCTGGACACATAGAATTTCTGTTAATTTTATATAAAAAAATTTCACAAGAATGATGTGATAATGTTATTTTCGTAAATATAATCCAACTCAAACTAGGGCTCCATTTGGTTTGGTTTTGAAAAATAATTTTTCAAAGTCATTATTTTTTCGTATTTTTTTTATTTTTAATGATTTTTTTTTTCATATTTTAGTTATTTTTTTAATATTTTAGATGCATCTAAATTTGGTGCATCTAAAAAAAATTACCCAAATATGAAAAAAAAATTATCAAAAGACAAAAAAATCACAAAAAATATCAAAACTCGAGAACTTTTTTTTTTTTTTTTTACAATTATCTTTCATTTTTTAGTAATTTTTTTCATATTGGAATCAATTTTTTATTAAAGTTTCAACACATACATATTTTCTTTCTTTGCTTGATAATTTCACACAAATAATAAATATATATATATATATAATGAAGCAAATATTTTTAATGTATTTACATTATTATATAATGAATTTACTTGACCATGGTTTATATAATTTTTGAGGGATTTGAGCTTCAACAGATTTACTGGACTGATTCCTGATTCACTGTTCAATTTGAGCTCTCTCTCTTACTTGTAATAAACATCTTGTGCTGATCCAACATAGATAAAGTTATTTTTTGGTGGTATAGATTATTAGTAGTATTTCTTTTTTATATACGGAGGACATCATTTTTGTATGATTATCTGTTTGTATGGAATTATTATTTTGGGTTGAATTATAGTTGGTTTGTATAGAATTTGATGTTACAAGACCAAATTTTTTTATAGTTGAAAGTGAAATAGAAATAGACATATGTATTGTTTTGTTTATATACAGGGGCAGGTTGCACGAAATAAATACAGGTTGTGCAGAAATTAATAATAATAATAAATAAATAAATAACACTAAATAAAGTTTTTGGTGACTAAATATTTAGTAGTCAAAAAAAAAATAATAAAACTTGTTGGCTACTGAAAATTTAGTAGCCAAAAACAAACCAAAGATGTTTTGGCAACTAAAAATTTAGTAGTAAAAAATATATGAGACTTTAGGTGACTAAATAGCTTAGTAGTTAAAAAAAAATATGAAAATTAATTTTTTTTGGCGACTAAATATTTAGTAGCTAATAATAAATGATACTTTGGGCGACTACAAGTTTTAGTCACTGAAAATAAAAATTAATTTTATTTGAAAACTTTTGGCAACTAAATATTTAGTCGCCAATTTATGACTTTTGGCTACTAAAAAATATTTAGTCGCCAATACCTCGTATTTTTCCCTACTAAAACATTAGTAGCCATTTATAGGACTTTTGGCGAATAAATTTTTTTTAGTCGCCAAAACCTTCCTCGACTGTTTTCCCGCGACCAAAATATGTAGTCGGGAAAAGATTTTGGCAACTAAAAACCTTACTATTAAAATTTTAATGGGACTTGAAAGGTTTTTTTATTTTTTTATTTTTTTTGGCACATAATTTTTTTAATTTTTTTTTCAATTTAAAAGTTAATGTTTTAAAGTTTTAAAAATAAAAATAAATGTCAAATTATCATGTTCATTTATAGACAATCATAAATGATAAACAATCATTGTTTGAAGGACAATTCTGACTATTAAAATTTTAATGGGACTTGAGAGTCCAAAACTCTTAATTAAGACTTAATGGAGCATAAGTTCATAACTTGTGTGTAAATACTTCATTTTTAAATAATAAATAAAAATTAATGAAGAAACTTAGTATGTGAGTTTGGAAATAAATAAAAATAAAAATAATTTTATTTTTTTAAATGGAATTTTGAAAGGAGCGTTATTATACATTTTGAAAAAGATTCCTATATTAGTTATAGCATAGATAATGTGACCATTTGAAAGGTTTTTTATTTATTTATTTATTTATTTTTATGAATTTTAGATTTTGTTGAATCGTTTAGCAAATTTAATGACACATAATTTTAAATCTTGAAATAGAAACATATACATATATTTTTAAAAATTATAAATTATGGAATAATTAGAGTTTTTTTTATGATTATAATTAGATTTTACTGAATTGCTTTCATATTAATTCAAATTTTAAAATAATTGAACATACATTCTTTTTAAAAGTCATAATTTATGGGATAATTATAATTTAATTGTTATGGTTAAATTAGAGTTAACTAATAGACATTTTTAAAAATAAAAAATAATTAGATTTTAGTGAATTGCTTCTATATATAGTGACACACAAATTTAAATTTTAAAATAGTTAAGCATATTTTCCTTTTAAAAATTATAATTTATGGAATAATTAGAGTTTTATTGTAATGATTAAATGAGAGTTTAACCAATAGAATGTTTTTTTATTATTTAAAAATTATAAAATTTAATTCGAAGGTTTAGAACTCTCACAAGTCTTGCTATTAGAAAGATTCTTTCCCTTATATAATATATATAGATATTTAATGGGACTTGAGAGTTCAAAAATCTTAGTTAAGACTTAATAGAGTATAAGTTCATAAATTAAGACTTGTGTGTAAATACTTTATTTTTAAATAATAAATAAA